ATCAACGATACACCTGAGATCTTTGGTCTCCATGACAACGCTAACATCAGCTTTGCCCAGAATGAGACCTTCGCCCTGCTGGGAGCCGTGCTTCGTCTCCAGCCTCGAGCTGCAGCTGTTGGGGGCAAAACTCTGGAGGAGGTACAAACCAAACATCTATTCATTAGATTTTCTTTACTCTTTATCCTTTTTAATGCTACCTGCATCATATTATGGTATGTATAGTACAGTAATTAAATACAGATTGAGAGGACAACAAAAAACATCATTATCATCTTCATTAACAAGCTTTTAGCTGAACACCCTTTGACGTCGAGTCAGGGATTTGGTTGTGATGAGTTGGATTCAGTACCCTTTCTAAATGCATGGACTAAAGCTGTGACATGTTTCCTCTGCCTGTACCGTAGATAGTGGAGGATATAGTGTCAGGCATCGCGGAAAAGATTCCTCAGCCTTTCAGTCTTCAGGAGGTGATGGAAAAGTACCCAGTGCTCTATGAAGAGTCCATGAACACAGTACTCATCCAGGAGGTCATCAGGTAACATAACAGGCAGACAACATCACAAACCACACCCCAAACCACGCGGCAGGATTCTTGATAAAATAACACACGTCACTTGGATGACTCCCAAGTACTCCTTTATCTTTCACCTAAATTACCAGTTCGTTCAAAAGGAAATACTCATCCAGCAGTTTGTTAATTCTTGAGATCAGAGAAAGAAACTGCCATCTGTGTCGCACTGAACGTATCTTTGACAATATTTAGCTCACTTCACTTTTGAGGTGAAAATAGTAATTAAATGTGTAACCCTTAATGTAACATCTCTACTTGAGACCAGTAGACCAAACTGTAGTCTTAAAAGGTCACAGCCAGTAACCATAATAACATGGCTTTGTGCTCATACTGTAATAATACAAACTTTAGTCATTTGGTTGTGTGTGAGCTGCTGTAGCTTGTGACGTCAGCAACCTGTCCAGAGTCTTGTTGTTTTCCTCAAGTTATAAACAAGGTCTTTGGTGGCCAGCGTTTGTTAGTATGTGTGTTTGTGAACGTATTTTGTTCATGTCTTGTGTACAGTTTGTCCTTGGGCTACTGGAGGGATTCATTTTATTTTTATGAACTCCATCTGAGAATGTTTGGCAATTAGTTGCTTGGTAGTTTACGCCTTATTACTTATTTAGATTTGCAGTTATGTTAGCAGTATTAGAAGTCAGATTTAAGTTATATCAGGAATTTTCTTTTACTACTCACATAATTTTTGGTCTCTCAGAGTAATAAATGGTAAATGTTTATTTTAATGAAATGATTAAACATGAGTGATGCACATGTTCTTTTAACTGATTTACAGTGTTCTAATATGAGGTTACATGAATGACTGTAATCTCAAAAGTACTCAATCAGGTAGTGCCACTTGATCAGTACTTCAGTAACTGGTCCTAGTATTTTTGTCTTTCAGATATAACAAGTTGCTGGCGGTCATCTCTCAGAGTCTCGGTGACATAGTGAAGGCTCTGAAGGGTTTAGTGGTGATGTCATCAGAACTGGAGCTTATGGCCAACAGCCTGTTCAACAATGTGGTGCCTGATATGTGGAAAGCCAAGGCAAGACACACACAAGCGTTCTTCTCCTCCTGAGTCCCTTGTGGTTACCAGTGGTCAGCTGGCATGTAAAACATTATGTAGCATAACAAATCTCAGGATGCAGGATTTACATGAATTCATCCTTTTGACAGCATTCATTTTTAAACAATAACCTTCTCATATTTTGATACATTTAACAATTCTGGGTCATATTAAAGAGAAACCCTGACACACACACACACACACACACACACACACACACACACACACACACACACAGAAGCTGCCAGTCTTGCAGGGGAAGCCACAAAACAGACACAATCTTACATCTTTTAGGGGATTTTTTTTAAGGTAATGTCAAAGTACAGAGAACTGTGGTGTGCCTTCAACTGAACTAATATTATGACATCCATCAGTGCGTGTTATTGTGTGCAGTTGGGGCTGAGACTCAGTGTGCAGGACATCAGATTAACTTTTGGTGACATTTCTGTGCTGCCCTAATAATTCCAGACTCTGCTTTCTAATAATACGCAACTCTTTGACTGGCCGTGTGTCTCCCTCCCTCCAGGCCTACCCGTCTCTGAAGCCTCTGGCCTCCTGGGTGTCAGACCTGCTTCAGAGGATCAATTTTCTGCATAGATGGATCAGTAACGGCATTCCACCTGTTTTCTGGATTAGCGGCTTCTTTTTCCCCCAGGCTTTTCTCACCGGAACCCTCCAGAATTACGCCCGTCGCTCCGGCACCTCCATCGACACAATTGGATTTGACTTTGAGGTCAGACAGTAAGCTGTGTGTCTGTGTCATTCTGCCTCACTAGCTAAAAACACTGATGTTTTTTTTGTCAGATATAGCAGTACACATTGACCACTCTGAACTGACTGTGTATAAATATCGACATGTACTGTAAATGTTTTATTGTTATTTTTAATGGTTGATACTGACTGTGATCCTGTTTCTTCTTTATCTATTTTGTAATCCCCTTCAGGTGGTAGTGAAGTCAATGTCAGAGATAACAGAGAAACCAAACACGGGCGTCTACCTCCACGGTCTATTCCTGGAGGGGGCTCGCTGGGATAACGAGGCCGGTCAACTCACAGAGTCCAGGCCCAAGGAGCTCTTCACAGAAATGGCTGTCATCTGGCTGATCCCCGAACCCAACCGAAAACCTCCGACCTCTGGGGTCTACGTCTGCCCCATCTACAAGACCCTCACTCGTGCTGGTTAGTACACACTAGATTCATCTATACTAAAACTAATACCATTTGATAGTGTTTGATTACCGTGTTTTCCGGACTGTAAGTCGCTCCGGAGTATAACCTAAAATGTAATTAAACACAAGGTCCAGACCAACTTTTGTGTTTAATTAAATTGTATACATTTGATCCCGTTATTTTCGGTTTCACATAGTAATTTTGCTCATAGCACTAAAGAACTTTCCATGACATACCTACGGCGTGTCGTCATCACGTACGTGGTCCCCCCCCCTTGATTGGTGGGTAGACGGGCGTGTGTCTGACATTGGCCTGTTGTCATTTTGGCGGGTAGTCTTTACCGTATGAATGAAAATGAATGAACAAATGAATGAACAAATGAATGAACAAATGAATGAATAAATGAATGAGCAAATCCCGATTGCGTTATTATGGTATTACTACCAGCAGCAACAACGTCAGCACCAACTACGAGAAATGTATGTTCTCGTAGTGCAACATTATGTACCCTCTCTCTTTCATCCGTCAGGAAATGTTTTGTAAATGTCGGCATTTTTGTGAGTGTTTTGAAACTGACTTTTAATGTTTCCGTCTGACCAAATGAAACATATAATCTCCTCCTCTCCTCACGTAAGTTACTTCCACGACTCATTTTTGCTTGTTCTGGCGGGGTTTTCTTCCGGTTTTTTTCTACTTCTTCTATGGTACGTTCCTGTAATTGGTCCGAAGTCCGAACCATCCAAAAAGTGTTTTCATACTAGTGTAAACGAACCGAACCATGGTTCAAGTTTGATCCGGACCGAGACCACCTCTTTAGTTCGGACCGTGGTCCGTGGCACCTTTCTCACCTACAATTTTGGTTCGGACCAAACTGAGAAGTCCGAAGGTGTGGACCAAATGAGGTATGTGTGAAAACGCCCTTATATGTGGTTTTTTCCTCTTCATGAGCCATTTTTTGACTGATGTGTCTTTGGGCGTTTTCACACATACCTCATTTGGTCCACACCTTCGGACTTCTCAGTTTGGTCCGAACCAAAATTGTAGGTGAGGTTCTACCGGGAATATTAGTGAGGACGAAGGAGTGAAATGAGGTGAGCTGGGCGACCAATTTACAAAACATTCACTGAACAAAAGGCAAACGCCGGCAGCACAGCAAACACTCGGGAGGCTACCTTATTTAGAAATTTATTTTACAGCATCCAAGACCGAGAACAGACATTCAATCAGGAAATGCAAGTTAAACACAACAGCACACAGAAATTAACATAACACCCCACCGAGTCCAACAGGCAAGTTACCGGTAGCAAGTTCACCATCCATCTGAACATAGTTGTATATATAACAGCGGCTCTGGTTGTCACAAGCCTAGAGCGCCTTCTCGCGGCTGTGGACGGTAATGTTTGGGCTGCTACTCGTTTCATTTCGGAATTATTATTCAAAAACATGTTACATTTCATATATAAAGCGCACCTGACTATAAGTCGCAGGACCAGCCAAACTATGAAAAAAAGTGCGACTAATAGTCCGGAAAATACGGTAACAAGTGTATTAACGCTATTTGTTAGTGTGACTTGATGTTGGTCTGCTCGCTCTAGTGTTTGTGTGCATCACCTTTTGGTGGTTTTATTACTCACCCAAAATAGACTCCAGTTAGTGTCCTGTTTCACGAAGCGCCTGAAAGTGCAGCTCTGTATTTTCCACCCACAGCACGAAGCCTCGTGCTGCTCAGAAACACAGTGCGGGGATGGAAAAATACAAACAAATGTATTAATGTCACTGAACTACTTTGTGTGCTTTTGTAGGGACTCTGTCTACAACCGGCCATTCCACCAACTATGTGATCGCGGTGGAGCTGCCTACACACCGCAGTCAGAGACACTGGATCAAACGGGGAGTCGCCCTCGTCTGTGCACTGGACTACTAAATATAGATTATAGATAGACACATTTTTTTTATATATGAAACACCTGTCTTTATACTGTATGTTTGTTTAAAGCCCACAACAATGATGACGCTTTCTCTATGCACTTCATGTCACTAAAAATGAGTTCATTGAAACTCTCCTTTAGTCTGTGTAATAAACAGTTTTTCACAATGCAATATTAGTGTAATAATACTGTTATGTACGATTATTCACTGTGATGAAATCATTTGGTTTAAGGAACAACTTACTATACTGTAACTTTTCAGGACCAGGCGTCCATATGTAAGTTTAGCTCTAAATCTACTCTCCTCCTTTACTCTCAGAAACCCACAACCTCTTGTTGTCCACAGTGTGCACTGAACACTGATGTGAATATACGTGCTGCTCCTTTAAGGCGGCCACATAGGGCCAGTTGAGAAATATGACTGCTGGGTGGTGCTTAAACAAACAGTGACAGTGACTGGCCGTGATGTGAGCACAACTAAAGGAGTCCAGATTGAACGGGAAACTGAGATCACCAGGATCAGCAGAGTACCCTCACCCCTGCTGTCTGATAGAGACCTCACTGGAATTTATTCTTTCTCTGACTTTCAGATCTACTAAATATATCTGGATTTCTCTGAAGAGACCGGTTGGCAAGTAAAAAAAAAAACGAGGAAAAAGGCGGGCATTTAAGTTCGGTGAGAGAAGAGTAGTTATTGTGTAGTTTAAACAAATGTGATTAGTTGTATAAACTACAGGCGAACCGTACAGTGGGATTACCGTGCGGAGTCCTCAGGGGCTGCGGTGCAGAGGACAACCAGACGCGCCACCGCTGCTGGAGGAGTCCTCAGCAGTTACCGGAGAGCAGCGGGAGTCAGCGCACTACTTAGGTGAATTACTCACGGTGTCTTTCTTCCCCCGCTGGTGACAACGAGCCGGTGTGAACATGCTACAAAATGGAAACGAAAAGGAGAAACCGCCGCAAGCGCCGAAGGCTGAAGCAGAACCGGACTCCCCGAGTGGAGACCCGAAACAGCAGCAGCCGCAGGAGCCGCCCCCTCCCCTCGCTCCCCTCGCTCCTCCCGCTGCCGACGGGGAGTCCACACACTTCCCCCTGCCCGTGTATCCCAAACTGGAGATAAAGCGCAACGCGGTGACGGACGATTATAAGATCTCCACTCAGGTTCTGGGCTTAGGGATCAATGGCAAAGTGCTCCAGTGCTTCAACAAGAAGACTGGAGAGAAGTGCGCATTGAAGGTACTGAAGACACCTGACACTTGTGTAATAAACTGGGTAGTAGTGGATAGACACCCTCAGCTCAGTTTACAAAGCTCATAAGTACGCCTCAATTAGCCAGGCAGTGTTTTTAACCGTGAGAGTGAAATATATATTCACTTACAGCATAATTAAAGAATTAGAAGCATTTTGAGTGTTTCCCAAATGATCATCATTGAAAAGTAGACCTGGACACACTATGATATTTCTGACAGTGTCTGGCAATAGTTTATAGTTGTCTTAGTGTCCAACAGCTCATCTCTTTGGTGGTTCATCTACACATCTGTTTAGATTTGGATCCTGAATTGATCCTTTAAATGTATGTTTTGTCCTACATCCACTGCAGCAACTCTAGAAAATATGGCTGCATTGTGGTGTGAAGGATTAGATTTAGGATTTTCATCCAAGTTTGCAACTCATATTTATAGTTTTCTTTATGACTTAAATGACAGAGCATTCATCTTTCTGACCATGTCATACACATACTCAGCGTGCTGTATGTCATGTAGGTTTGAGTAGTTGTTTCAGCAGATGACAGCTGAGAATCGAGGCCCGTTTTATTTCTGTCTGCAAACATTACAGATATATCTTTGAACCAAACCTTCATAACATCACAAAACGGCCATTTGATCAATTTCAGATCACTAGCAGGTTTCAAACCTGCTTATTTTGGTGGCAGGGCGACCATTTTGTTAACAATTGTATGTTATATAGAGGATTAAATGTTAATAACTGCCTGAAAATATATTTGTATACATTTATCTTGATATTTAAACAGGGTTTAGTTGTGTGTTTAAGAGTTGTAAACTTGTAAGTCTTTTGCCAAGATTCAAAAGCTTTGACCTGTATGGCGTTCAGATTTCTGTCACAGACTTACTGGACTAACACCGAAGCTTGACATAGAGAGACTATGATTAGCTTACATGCATGTCTGAACTATGCTCCTGCATTGATGTGTACCAGCTGCCCACATTGGGCTTTACATGCACTGTACATGTTGCCCACTGGGCTCACATGCTCTACATGTGGACAGGCTGAATGTGATCATGGCGCAGTGTTTTCCTGGAATCTCGTCCTATCTCTGGATCAAATGCAAGTTCAGGGGCGCACGGTCACCCACCCGGCCATATGCTGTGCCATGTTACACTCGCCTCATACAGCCACATGGATTTTGACAGTAACACCATATTCTGGGCAGCAGTGGAAACTTGGGCCTTCATACACTTGTAGACGCACACAAGCATGGGTCGTTAGACTGTCCCCTGTCACCACCAGGGCCACAGACTCAGAGAGATTTACTGGCTTACAGTAATCCATCTGGATCTGAGCTGACAAACCAGGCAGCAGCAGTGTCACAGGCTGAGCTGTGGACCCGGGCTCTGGGAGGGAAAGGGAGGCAAAGGATGAGAAAGAGAGATAAACAGCAGAAAATAGGAAGTCACAAACAAAAGACGAAAGGCCAAGAGGGATTCAGTGCTTGATAGCATCACGCCAGCCTGGGAGGGGCAAGAACACAATTACTTATGAATAACAGAAAGAAAGCAGAGAGAATGATAAAAATAAAAAAAAGTATTTTGCCAAAAAATCTTGCTTGCTGAACTCAACTCATGTCAGAGAGGAAATCTGTAAGAAAACACAGTTGGTCCACAACCTCAGGAGTGACAGCATCCATAACAGCCTGTTGCTTGACAGACTCCAGCTTCCAGCAGGTCAGAGTGACCCCTCGGCTAAGAGGATGCCCCACAGACCCAACACTCTCTGGAACCCTCTTAGCTTCCTGAAGCCCCTGTTGAAAGCTTTGAGAGATGACAAAGGAACCACTCATTTAGCTCTTGCTGATGTCTGTGTTAGTGTGCTTGTGCATTGGATTGGACAGTTTTCTGAGTGTACTTTTATTCTACTTTATTGCCATTTAAGCTAATTTACGACCTACCCAGTATTGTTTTAATCTCAAAGCAAATAGAAGGCGAAAGGAAATAATGGAGAGTGTTGGATGTGTGGGGGGGATAGTGGAGAGTTTACCAGCTCACTGGCTTTTTAATTAAGTGTTGCTCTGAGCGCTAAACGTAATGGATGGGTACAAGTTTAATCCACTTTGGAGCTGGAGGGGAGCCATCCTCTTAATGTAATTCAGTTAGTCATCATCATTCTTTTAACTTGGATTTGTCTGACTCCTGGGAGGAGACGGACCTGGGAGATCCTTGTGCTGCATAGCAGTCCTCTTTAGCACCGCCATTAACTGTTAATACCACTGGAAGCACGGTTTTTGGCCAGTGATTTTTCCATTTTAGCATCTGAAGTACCTTCCAGCTTAGCGCACGGAAAACTGTACAAGCTACAGGTCTGTGTACAGGCTTCCATTCATAGTCGTCCCTTCAGCCTCTGTGGTCAGCTGTTTGGCATGCTGGTGGCACATCTGGATTTCCTCTGGGACTTACAGAAACCAAACTGACAGAAATTCTAATGTTTTGGTCAGACGCTGCTGAAAGCTGCACTCAGATCTTCTGCAGGCTCGCTCCAGGCAGCCGGTGCTGTTAAACCAGTTAATCAGTCTCAGAGGTTTGGCTTATAAGTATCCATTTATTCTCAAGCTTCACCTGCTTGTTGTGCAATCCAAGCTCATTATCTGCTTCGAGTGTAGTGTGGAGGAAACATGCTGCAGTCTAACATGTTGTCTTGAATGAATGCAGCAGCTGTGTGGTGGAGGATCTTTGTAGTATTCAGAAGAGAGAAGTGGTGTTGGTGTTGATCACTCCTGCTGTCTTCTCAGTTATAGAAGAGGAACTTTGATTTTACTGCCTAGTGGGGACATTCACTGGGGATTTTTAGCTCCGGTTCTCTCTGATGTCAAGAAAAAACATACAAAAATATCCAATAGGTGTTTTTCTTACTTGAGTTGAAGGTTTGTAGTGTAATGAGTATGTTGGGTGAGTTTCTGAAAGTTGTTTTAAATTGTATTATAATACTACAAACAAACTACATAGCACTTTATCCTTGTGTCCTGTCATTTTTAGCCATGCTAGCAGTGAAACTCCAGGGATGGTTGTTGTTCAGGTGATTATACACTAATAAAAACACACTTACGAATATTTTATTCCATATCCACCAGCAGATTCTCCTAAACGTTACACACTGGACCTTTAACTAAGCTGCTGAACATGGTAAACATAGACCTTTTTCACAGCGGCCATTTTGAAATAGTTGGGTAAACACAGGCATTGCCAATGATACTAATTAAGGCTGTGTTCAATTCAGGTCAAACAGGGTGCTGCTATTGTACAGTGGAAAGCTTCTACTACATTAAATAGAAGTGAATCTTTAATTCGTCTAATTAGTAACGCCTGTGTTTACCCTACTATTTCATGTCGTGAAAAAAAAGTATGTTATACCTGCTGAACATCAGCATGTTGCCCTGCAGGTGTGTTAGTATTCAGCTCAAGTACAGCCTCGATGATGATGATATATTAGTGTTATTATGAAACTGTCATAATTTTAGTCATAGATTTAATGAAGCAGTGCAGCATTGCAAGTAAACAAAGCAATTATTGATTAACTGTTTACTGCTTTCTAGACCACTTTGATGTAGACGCTTTATTGGCAGAAGTTATAAAGATAAACCTTTTTATGAAGATATACAATCCAGCGCTCTGACAACCACTAATATTTGATAGAGTGTAAACATCCTGGGGTAATAGAGTTTGTGTGGGGGCATTATCAGGTAGAGGTGTGTGTGTGTGTGTGTGTGTGTGTGTGTGTGTGTGTGTCAGTGTGTGTTACAGTCTCTATGGACAGAGATTTGATTGGTTCAGAGGAGCGTGAGGTTGTGGTTGATTGGCTTAAAGCAGGATCAGGGACAGGGGTCGCCTCACATAAGAAAAGAGTCCATGGGAACATTAACTAGAGTCCCGTTTGTGTTTTATATGTGTATTTAATCCACACAGTCCTTTTTTATTGTAGCTAATTCTGGTTCATTGCAGGAAATTAAGGAAACCTGCTGTCATGCTGTCTGCTCTGATTAAAGTCATAAAGCTATAAATGACAGAGCAGAAAGTAACCTTCCCACTGCTTTGCTTCACAAAATAGGCCCCATGTAGTAGTAGATCAGACAAATAAGTCACCGGAAACCCTCAACTTCTACTTTCAACACCCTGCTGCTCTGAAACTCTTGGCCCTCACTTCCTCTTTGACATTGGCGAGCTGACACACAACATCGCGATCAGTTTTAACATTTGGAGTTTCCAAGAAATGTGACATTATTTAATTTCCACCCATAGATTTGAATCTGACATTTTATAAATATACAATATATATTCTTTCCACATTTTAAGTTCACCCGTTAGAGAACACAGGTTTAGTGTGTGTGTGTGTGTGTGTGTGTGTGTTTGTGTGTGTGTCGTAGGTCAATGAGTCAGCCTCGCTGTCTGTTATGTACTCCAGACTCGGTCTGTGACCAAGCCGGCCTTGTGAACAGCAGATCGCTCCATCACTGTCATATCCAAAAATACACTCTGACTGAAGATGTGTGCTATGTCAAGGTCCGTCACTTGCTGTGTGTACGTGTGTGTGTGTGCATCTGCTTATGTCAAACACACACACAGTCAGTGTGGATCAGTGAAGACAGTCAATAATTGCGTCATTGTTTTTATTACTATAAACTTTTATTTGATTTATTTTCTACACTTATTGAAGGGTCACTTTTCACCAACTAAAACAAAAAAATTTATAATTATTTAACCCTGTAAAGGATGATTTAGGTAACAACAATGTTTTGTTATTAACTAAATGAGTTTAATATCTGACGTGGTGCCAAGATTTGAGGGATAGAGGTTATAATAGGTCCATGTGATATGGTTGACATTATCATTACAGTGTTAATACGATAATGACATCAACTTTAGTGCTGCAACTAACAATCCATTTTGTTACTGATTAATTTAAATTATTCATTTTTCAATTAATCAACTTTATACCATAAATAATTAAGAATATCCATCACAGTTTCCCAAAGTAACAGCTTCAGATTGCTCATTCGGTCTAACTAACAGTGGAAAACCCAAATATATTGAATGTACAATGATATGAAAAAGAGAAAAACAGCAAACTGAGAAGCTGCAACCAGAGAAACTCAAATAGACTTAAATAACTAATTTAGTTAGTTGTTAATCGCTGCATGTCCTGAACATTTACTGACATTTTAAAGGCAATGTGATTCCACTGAAACTTGATTAACAACAGTATTGTATGAGCGAAGCAATGTAAATAGATTTATTGAGTTCATTAGTACCGTCTTACACTGAAAACCTTATTATCTATTCATCATCAATTCATTTTGGATTCATCTTTCTCTGTGTGTCTCCCAGATTCTCTACGACAGCCCCAAAGCGAGACGAGAGGTGGAGCTCCACTGGCGAGTATCAGGAGGACCGTATATCGTTCCAATCCTTAGCCTGTACGAGAACATGCATCATGGGAAGAAGTGCCTGCTCATCATCATGGAGTGGTAGGATTCACATTTCATCACCAGTTTACACACCCTGACAACCACCAGTTTCCTTATTATGTCTCCATATCTGGTGATGTTTAGTGTGAGTTATCAGATGAACGGATATTTCACTTAAAAACTTGTTTATTATCAGATTTGAAACTGACATCACACTTACAGTGACTACAAATTCCCAGAAGTCACAGCTCTGCACTAACTTGCCTCTTTTGAACTAATGGCAACAGAAACTGGGAAGTTACAGTCGCTCTGCTCAGTTTCAACAGGTTTCCACTGGAATTTATGCATGTGGTTTGTGATAAATAAAGACGACACGCTCTAGAGAGGAATAAATACAGTGAGATAGAGCTTCAGTATGAACGTGTTTTACAGAAGGTTTTATGTGACCCACATATGTTATTTTCTGTATAAATATGGAAGAAGAATCTGGTGACGACACCTATGGATTTAATTGTTGCTTTTCACAATGTTTTTTCCACCATGTTGAGAAGGCTGAAGGTCATCTGTCTCCCAACAAAACAAATCTCGCATAAAGCCATTCTCCTGAAAAAGCTTTAGGATATTAATTTTTCCAATATATCTAATATGCTCATATATTTTCACGCACAACAGAACCCAATGAGTGTTTGTGCGTGTGTGTCTGCAGTGTCGAAGCATGAGCTTTGTGCCACCGAGGGCAGAGCATTAACACATGCTAAAGGTCAGTCATAAGACCTGACGCACTGCAAAGTGAAAACGTCGACACTGATGGTGAGATAGAGGGACCGATCCCATCTGGGCTGCACATGTCATGACAAACTGTCCATAACAATACCCAGAGTGACTGTGAAAGTGATACAACATTATTGTGTGTGTGTGTGTGTGTGTGTGTGTGTGTGTGTGTGTGTGTGTGTGTGTGTGTGCGCGCGCGCGCTGCAGTTGAGCTTTGTACTTACTCTTTCACTTGTAGGTGGAGAAAACACAACACAACAATCCAGAGGAAAAGAGAACCTCTGTTATGGGGATTTTAAACAGTGACAGACTGGTTCTCATCATCACATTTATTGACACAGCAACTATGTGTGTGGTACTGTATGTTGTGACCTTGTGAGTGTGTCAGTAATCTCTTCCTGTGTGAGTGCGGGTCAGAGGAGGACAGCAGTACAGCCCACTGCAGTCAGTTTACTGTAGCACACATTTCTCTCTCCATTATCTGTTCATCTGTGTGCTCATGAACCACAACAGGTTGACTCTTACCTAAAGCACTCGATGCAAATCCATGTCACAGTTTGCACAAACACATTTTTCCAGAAGGGAGACTTTCAGACATGAGTGGCAGTGGGTTGTTGGTGAGTGGGTGTGAAAGTGATGAGTGGGAAGCTCAAAGACCTAATTCTGAAACGTCTTTGGTGGCAGAGAGTGTCTGAACTTTGAAAGAAGTGGGTCAAAGGTCTTCGATAGGAAAGTCTGTGTTAAGTTAGTGTGTTGTTAGTTTGTGTGTGCAAAATATGTTTTCACATAAACTCTGTTGGTTCTTTCTTTCTTCTTTTCTGAAGAAGACTTTTACTCAGTATTTTTAGAATTTCATTTTCACTTATCATTTCTCTTTTCAAGAGACGGAAAGCTTCAGTAAATATATCGGTTTGTCAAACTTAGCCGGGTAATGATTTATTGTTGTTAGTTGCACAATATCAGGTCATTTCTATGGTTATATCAGATAGTAGTTTACATTGTTTTGCTAAGTCTGGAGTCTGTGTGGAGTCTCTTTAACAGTTACACTGTAATTGTGATGCTTTGTACACATTTATTTATTAGTTCCAGCTTGATTCATTACTAATTCCATTACTGTTTCCCAGTGCCTTCAACACAAGTAGTAATTACTTAAAGTCCCCCTCCACACAAAAATATGGGGCCTACCAGCATGATTTGTGACATCATAAATAGTCTGCAAGTCCATCCTGGTCCAGTATGCAACTTGTACAGTGTGATGTAGAAACTTGAAGCCACCAGTGCACACACACTGAGAATGGACTTTTCAGTGAAGGAGGAGACATCCTGTGTCCAGCAGGAAAACTTCAGAAATGAACAAAATCTGAATATTTATAGATTCTGGTATTTTTAATGAGATGGTCTGGAGGGGATCTTTAAATTCAAATGTGGAAAACATTTAACATTTATTTTGGCAAAACATTGTTTCTACAGAAGGCAGATGTTAAAGTGTGAAATACTGAGCCTCTCATTGATTTTAGAAATCCTCAGAACATTTTATAAACATTTGTTGATGTGTGATATTCAGTGTAATTTGTGCAGTTTGTAAATTGTGTGTGTGTGTGTGTGTGTGTGTGTGTGTGTGTGTGTGTGTGTTTGTGTGTCTCCAGTATGGAGGGAGGAGAGCTGTTCAGCCGAATCCAGGCCCGAGGTGACCAGGCCTTCACTGAGAAAGGTGAGGACTGATGGAGGGAAGGACTGATAAACACATCACAGAATGTGTGAGAGAAAGACTGAACCATTATTCCCAGGAAAGAGCAATATAAGGCAGACAGTACACAACAGAAAATAACCTGTTTGATTGTTCCTCTGTTTCATTTGTATCTCTTGTGTCTGGTTTGAGAGAGTGTGTTTTCCTATTTTCCTCCCAGAGGCTTCTGAGATTATGAGGGACATCGGCACGGCCATTGAGTTCCTCCACAACATCAACATCGCGCACAGAGACATCAAGGTGCAGAAAGATGAAGATCACCACCCAGATCATGAAGAATGTGATTAGTACTGAGACACTGAAGGACATTCTGTCTTATTTTTTTTCTTCTTCTGCCTCCTAACCAGCCAGAGAACCTGCTGTATACCACTAAAGAAAGAAACGGGGTCCTCAAATTAACAGACTTTGGCTTTGCTAAGGAGACAACGCTACACAACCCTCTACAGACCCCCTGTTATACACCGTACTACGTGGGTAAGTTGTTATTTTGTAAGTTGTTTTGTAAAATGCTCTTATTTTCCTGACAGATGAACCGCTTACAGGCATTTGACAGATTTTTAAATAGGAAAAACAACATAGTGCCTGAAGCCATTTTTTTGCCACTGATCTCCATTTATAATTTTTTATCTATTTCTGTGTGTTTGTGTTTTGCCAATGATAAGCTCCTGAGGTTTTGGGTCCGGAGAAGTATGACAAGTCATGTGACATGTGGTCTCTGGGCGTCATCATGTACATCCTGTGAGTACTGCTTTTATATGATGCGTTTTGTAAATGGATCCTTCAAACAAAGCGTAGGTCAATCTTTTTAAGGTTTTTAAAGTTGCTGTCTCTGTCCCACCACATTTGTCTCTGTAGGCTGTGTGGCTTCCCTCCATTTTACTCCAACACAGGCCAGGCCATTTCTCCGGGGATGAAGAGGAGGATCAGGATGGGCCAGTACGAATTCCCCAACCCAGAGTGGTCGGAGGTGTCACAGGAAGGTGAGAATTACATTTGTGGTTGTGGTATTTTTCTGGAAAATAAAACAAAGTATTCTTGATATGAACTGTTATTATGGGCTGACAAATTAATGTTACAGTTGAAAACTGTGAAAACTGTAGCGGACCAGTAAAAGATTACAGATTACATTCAAAGAGAGACAGACGGATATAAGCAGAACACAGACATAGACAACACTAAAAGCAGTGGGAACAGCAGAAAACATAACCTCAAATGCAAACAAGGACAGAACAGCTTCAATGAACCTGAGACACTTCATCATGAACCCTGCAGCATTAAACAAGGAGGGATAATAAATAATAAAGCTGGAATTAAATGCAACAATAGTAGGCATATGATATGACTGTTTGTGAGCAAGTGCTCTGCTGGAGTGTGAAAAACACATCCTGCTATCCGACTATTTTTATACTATGCAGCAACCAGAAAGATATATCAGTGACAACACATGCATTTCATGTTCGGCCGTGTTCAAGTCAGAGGTTAAAGAACTAAACTTTGCTTTCTCAGAGCGAGCTTTCTGTCAGCAGGTGGGACAGTTTGGTTGTGTTCCAGCTAAAAGAGATAGATGACAAAATGATAACATTCTGCAAACTATATGAGTCAAAGCACCCTGTCTGACATGTGAAGAGCACTGTCATATTTATCTGCATCGATGAGGACATGGTCTCATTCTAAGGCTTGCAGCACCACAGTGACAAACAGGAAACCATAAAACAGCTGATTCTGCCTACACACCTTTACTGACCTAGTCAAAGACTCTCATGTAGAAACCTCAGTACGTGATCAGCGGCAGCACTGGGGGGCGCGCTGCACTTTTTTCCAGACATCATTGTGCTGTATCACCTCTTTAAGCTCCATGTGCTGTCACCTGAAAGTGCAGTCTCTGCAAACAGACAACATATTATGGTTTAGGTCTGTGTGCCTTTGCTGAAAGCACAGTGCTGCCCCAGAGGTCACTGTACTTCATCTCCCACACTCACTGACTGGCTGCTAAAGACTTACAACAAATGATCATGCACAAACTCTTTTATGAGTCATCTTACAGAAAACTCAGAGACAACAGCCAGCTGGTGACGACGCATGTCTCTGTACACACTCTGACATTTTCTATTTTTTCACTCAATCCCGCTCTTCTCTCTCAAGTAATCCTATTTGCTGTGTAAGTAGGCCAGTCTGTCCCTGAGACTAGGAGAGGCTTCATAAGATTTGCATGCGTGTGTGTTGCTGTGATAATTATTTTTGCGTCGCTTTTTGTCTTCAAGTGAAAGATTTGATCCATCAGCTACTGAAGACGGACCCCAACGAGAGAATGACCATCACTCAGTTTATGAACCACCCGTGGATTAATGTAAGTATCTGTGTGTGGAGTACAGATAGACATTGTATACTTCCTATACTGCTTCCTGTTTGTCTGTGCATCTGTTTGCTCATATCTTAATCTGTGTGTGTGTGTTTGTATTCTGCAGCAGTCCATGATGGTTCCTTCCACTCCACTCCACACCACCCGAGTTCTGACTGAAGACAGAGAGATGTGGGAGGATGTGAAGGTCAGAAGCACAACAACACTGCCCCCCTCTGGTCACTTGTTTACATTACAACCTGTTGCTGCCGGGCTGCTTTAGGTTGACCCCAGTGCTACAGAGGCACTCCAGTGTTTAAGTATTAAACAGCCATGAAATCTAGGGACAAATTTAAAACATAATGGTCAAAATGGTACAGGGGGAAAGGTCCAGAACTGCTGTTTCCCATAATGCAACTCAAGAGAATCTTTCATTAGATGCTGCATACCTGGTAAATAGATAGATAGATAGATAGATAGATAGATAGATAGATAGATAGATAGATAGATAGATAGACTTTATTAATCTCCGAAGGGAAATTGGGGAAATACCCACAGCTTCCTATGGCTATAACTCAAGTTGGATAACTAAAGTTTGTAATGCTTTCTGCCCAGGCTGAGAAACCCTTGATGACATTACTATGACATCATCAGTTAATAATGTCCAGTAAGCTGATTTTAATGTGTAAACTCTGTAATGATAAATGATAATGAATAATGATAACCAGCCAACAAAGGAAAATTGTCCGTTCGAAATTAAAATTTTACACCATTAAATAAAACTGTCTCACCATCTTGACGGTCCTCTGATGGCCACCAGGGGGAAGCAGTTGGTTACAGTCAATTTTGGGCTGTGAGTTAGTTGACTGTGTAAAATTTAACACGCACACTTAAACACAAAGCCCTGTGCCATTCTCCCCAGCTCTTCTTCTGTTGTCCTCAAAGAAATGTGTTTAAAGAACAAGAGCGCTGTTTGCTCTCATCGAGTCACTGTGGGGTGAATTCCCCCAGCACTGTACAAAATGTCTCAGTTGAGCTATTGTATAGTTCAGTGGCTGTAAATTTGAGCTGGAATCCTGAGTAGAAAAGCACATTTCTTCACAGCAGCTGATTGAGCATGTTGGAAGCGATAAGGTATGAAAAGAGACATTTCTCCAAAATGATATGCACACAATACACCACTGTTCAGTTCTGCAATGGCCAACGCTGCGTTGCGAAAAGATTTCACAGATGGCACTCCTGAACCACCACTTCTCAAAAAGCACAAAAGTGAGATGTTACATTCTTTCCACATAGGTAGTTTGGATCACGACTGACAAGTGGCCACAAATCATGATGGAGAGTTACACGGTTTATATTTCCAGTCTTTTTTAGTACATTTTACAGTCAGTGTTTGCTCAGGCTTCTCTTGGCCTCGGCCATTGATGACTTGACCTTTCCACAGCTCATAAAAATATTTTCCCTGCACTACAAATGTTTTATGAATTAAAGGAATAGTAGTAAACATAAGACCAAAGCCATCCAGTCACTTGTCTTGGCTAGCTTAGCATAAAAACTGGAAACAGCTAGCCTTGCTCTGTCCAAAACTAATAAAATCCATCTATCATCCTACCTGATTAGCTACTTAATTAGATATATGTGTTATCTCATTATTTAAATCCACACAAAAACAACTGATGTGAAAGAAGGTCAAGTTGTGGTTCTACTGCGGGTGTTTAATGTTGGACTATTTCTCGGCCAGGAACAGGAACTTTCTCAAGTCTCCACACTGGTTGCCTAGCAACTGCCGAAAGGTAGTCCGACAAGTAACCCCCAGTAAAACCAACCAACTTGACCTTTTTGACCTTTGATTTTAGCATGGATTAAACATATTAGATGTAGCGTGTAAGTTAGTGAGCTTTAGAGGTGTTGATCGGCAGATTTAGTTACCTTTGGACAGAGCCAGGCTAGCTGTTTCCTCCTGCTTTCAGTCTCTATGCTATGCTAAGCTAACGCTGGCATCAGCTACGTATTTACAATGAGAGTGGTATAAATCCTATCATCTAACTCTCAGCAGGTGTATTATTAAAACATCACGTCATTTAAAAAGATTGGTTGAGAATAAGACTCAACAAAGGTGTACTTATTGCAGATGTGCCCTCTATAGTATAGTCTCTGCCCCTTGTAGTATAATTGGAGTAGTCTTCACTGAACTAACACTGTTACAGCTGATCCTCTACCCTATCCCTCACAGGAAGAGATGACCAGCGCTTTAGCCACCATGCGTGTGGACTACGACCAGGTGAAGATCAAAGATCTCGACACCTCCAGCAACCCGCTACTCAACAAGAGACGTAAGAAGGCCGCAGCAGGGGCCAAGACTGGGTCCACCGTCTGCCAAAGTCAGTAAGACACGGAGGATTGTTGGTGGAAATCCGAGGAGAACAGCCAGTGATGAAGAAAAGCAGCTCAGAAGAGGGAAGAAACATCGATTGGTGCAGGAGAGGATCATTCAGAGATCTGCTCAGGACTCAAGAGACTGGATGTTGAGGAAATGTTCTCTGGAGTAAAGGGACAACATAGGAACAACATCAAAGTCCGAGCTGGACATTCATAAGACATATCAAGTCGTAATATCACCTGTCAGTGGTAGAAATCAACAGCTCTGTTCACTGTGGGCCTAATCTGTTTTTAATGAATATAATGAATGTATGTAATTTTTAGATCTTGCCTGTTTGTAGGCGTGTCTGTGTGTACACATGAAGTATTTGTAGAGTTTTGTGTATTTGAAAGCTGGGTTGCCTATTTGAGGTCTCCTTTGTAACTTTGCACTAGTGTGCAAATCACACACACAGACAGACAAACGAACCGTGGACAGACTGTGAAACTAGAGCACTCACTACCTGCATTGTCTTAATATTGTCTGTCTTTTGCTTTCAGGAATTAAAGCAAAGCCTGACACTGACTGTCTTGTCAATAAAATGTAGCCTCCATAATAACCTCCAGTTCCACCAAAGGGAGTATTTTTTTATTGAAGCAACAATAAAACGGCCTCACACGTACTCGGCCGAGCAGTACATTTAACTCAGTGTTATGGCTGCAGATCCACATTGTCACCTCATAATGTCAGTGTGTGGCCACAGAGCTTCATGTAAGCAGTCGTGGGGTAATGGTTGGTTGTGTTACATGGATGAGTTGTGACACTTTTCTTGAGAAAAAAACTGCATGTGTGTGCGTGCGTGTGTGTGTGTGTGTGTGTGTGTGTGTGTGTGTGTGTGTGTAGGCATTGAGTAAAACGCTTCCAGTAAATAGGGTCTGCAGTTTCACTTCATATTAAAACATGAGCAAGCCTTTAAGTGAACCTCATCTGTATCGACTCCGTGTGAGATTGCATTTGTCCATTTGGTTGTAAATAAAACTTTATAAAGTAAAGCTGGAGAGTTCCTGTGCAGGATGTTTTATTCTGTGGACCTCACAACTATTGTTTTTATAATCGTGCCTTTCAGGCTTTGCCAGGCTGCTATAAATAGCGGCAGTGGAGTCGTTATTTGGGATACAGCCATCTGACTTAGTGTGTTCGACTAGAAAAGGTCAAGATTATTATGTTTAGATTATATGGTAAGGACCTTTGCCCCACTTTGATCACATGTTCCCCCCGCAGTTTTTTGAGAAGCTAATCATAAGCACTACTTGGCTTCCCTGTCGTAAATATGGGATGTCATAGAGAGCATATCCTGTCAGCTGTTGTTTGGTGCTCCACGTCTTTGAAGAAAGAAAATGCAAAATAGTTTTAGGGTAAGACAATGACGGAGAGTATTTGTGGGTGGAATCTTCTAGTATGTTCCCAATGACATATTTCCTCATAATTTGGCAACGGTGCGTACTTTTCCTTTGAGTCAACCATTTTGTAGAGGAGCACTGTCATGATTACAGCATGTATCTGTACCACTAATATGATGTTGACATAACAGTGTCTGGTACACTTCCTACTTGTATTATTCCACAAAAGTCACAGATCCTCCACCTCCTGAGATTTGTAAACCTCAGGCACCAATGAAAACACAGACATGAAGACATCTGAATACAACTGACCGTTCATTACTTTGTCTGCCATAAAGGCAGACAAAGTAATGAAATTAAGGAGCCAAATAATTTAGGTAGAGGTGGCTACATCCTGGAAGTGTGTTATCTCCTGCCAGGCTTGAGGATAAAGCTCAGTAAGACAGGTCTGACGAGTATGTCACACAGTGAGTGTGCTGTATGTGCTGCCCGAGGCTTGGGTGTGAGGTGTCTGGGGGCAGTGTAGGATGGGTGGGTGGGGGGGTAGATCACTTTGCCCTATAGGGAGGAATGTGTTTGAGGTCAGTCAAAAGCCATCTGACCTTCAACTGTTTTCTTCTCCTCTCTGTGTCATGCTCTGTCTATGTTGTCTGAACCTTTGGGATCCCCACTGGGTCCCTTTCTAACATAGAGTGGAGTAGAGTGTGTGGGCTTCAACTGTTCCCTGATGTCTTTCTTTTCTTTCTTTATCTTCTCTGTGTTTGTCTCATTAATCCACAGATGTGCGGTTGCAGGCCTTGTGCTTGATAATTAGTGTCATCATTATGATAGGCTGCTGATAAGGGTATCATTACTGCCTCTGAAATAGCCTCATGTGAAGAGTGCCTGTGGTTCCCCTGACCACCAAATTGACACAATGTCATTGTAGTCCCAGGGTAAGACGCCCGGGCAAATATCTATGATATATATAACTTAAATGTAATAGTTAAATACTTAATTAAGAGTATTCAACCCCAACCTGGATGTACCTTCAACTTGGTCATGTTTTTTTTGCTTTGCAACTTTAAATCAAGGGATTACAAGGTTTTGTTTTATTATTGCTGAAACTTGGGTCCTCTTTGTCAAAACACACAAAAACCAAAAACATACAAACAAAATACAAAATGTCTTACATCTCTTTCAAAAGTAAACACTTTACTATATAAACTCTTCCCAGCTTTACACACAAACACCAAAAGAAAATGCCAACTGCACACTGATAAAACACAATTGTCTTGAGTCATTTTCTTAAGTAGCCAATATAGACTAGAACACAAATTCACTGGGGAAACAAACAAATTTGTTTATTCTCCATACTGACATACTTATAACAGTATCAGACACCGTCACTGTACTGAGCTGTAAACAAAATACAGTTTATTGCAACTACAGTCCATCCTGTCACACCAAAGAAACCTGAAATCTGAATCCTATTTGTGTGATTTCTAAGTGATCTGTTTGGTTGAAGGTGTTTTCACATGCGCATTCTGGGTGAAGGTGCTTTACAATTGAGTGTGGTATATCAGTGGCAGTGATTAGCAAACAACACAAACAGGCTTTTAGTTTTGAATGATGTGTCGAAAGATAACCGTGTGTAGTTATTTTAAAAAAAGTGTGTTTAAGGTTTTTAAGTTGATAAGGCTACTCATAAAAATGAACTTGTTCCAACTAGTTTTTCCACGTTATTTATGTCAACTCATCCAAATAATGTTTGCAACTTACATTTATCTAAATCATTAAATAAGAAGTTTTATCACAGTAACCATACATTTATTTAAGTTGTGACAATATATCCAGTGAATTACCTTTTAGAGTACACTGTTATCCACAGGACTTTTGTTGGCCTCTCTCACTGATGCCTATCTCTAGAGGATTCATACCTGTGCCATATTCTTGTCATCCTGTCATATGACTGATATTTCTGTACCCTGATTGGCAGCCTTTCTGTGGTTGGTACATTATTTCTCAGTAAACTTGTTACAGATTTCATTTCAATTTGAAAATTGTCCCACCTTAGAAACAGGGGATCACTGCTGAACAATGAAACACAATCTCTATAAACAACGGGCTGCATCACTGATGGTTTGGGAGTGTCACAGTAATGAGGTGTTTGTGCTCATGCAATCAGTTATAAATTTAAGCAATCACTTCAGTTCAGTTTGCAGACCGACTCTGTTCTGTTTATTTGCATTGAAAAAGGCTGAATGAATCTGAAGTGTTACTACATTGTTAAACAATTAAAGATCGTTGCTTAAAATATGTTGAATACTTCCATAGGAACTGCAGAAAAACAAGTTCTGCAAGTCAGATTGTTCCTGGAAAATTCCTCCTCAAGTCTTCCTGTATGGACCTGAGTTTATCAACATTGAACAGTGAATGTCCTTTCTGGTTTGTATTATTAAAGGAGTATCTTATATGTGAATTATAACAAAATACAGAATATTCCTATGAAGTCTGATATTACCGGGGAATGTATTAACACATGTCTGTGTAGTTCAGCTGAATGACTATATTGTGTCATGTTTCTTATAAAATGTATGTTGTGTAATATCCTAGTGGTGGGGACATCTGTCAAAAAAGTGGGTGGGGTATAAGGTAGGTAGGCTGCTACCTAACTCCATCCGACCTGAGGTCCCACACGCACATAGTGGGTGTGTATTGTGCACAGAGAGCATCACTCAGCGGGCTGCTGTTGGACGCACGTACGCACCGCCGCCGCCGCCGCCGCCGCCAGCCACTGCGCTCCATCGGACAGACGCCCATGATGAGAGGCTGCTCCAGCCGATCCAAGCTCACACAGGACAGAGCAGGTAAGAGACGTCGCCTCGGAGGCTCTGGTAGACTTATTGCATGCGGGAGTTTAAATTATGCATCTTTAACCGGAGTACCGAGAGAGTCGGGCAGGTCGAGCAGCCCTTCAGGACGTAAACAAGAGTCGTTGCGCTGGCGCTGTCACCGAGACCTTTACCCTACATAACCGCTACAGGCGACAGTCTTCGGGTTTTTTTTATAGTATCCACAATCATTTGTAAGCGCAGCTGTTGGGCTGTAACACAGAGGATGAGGAGGCAGGCGGATGTTTTTGGGGGCTGCTGCCGAAATAATAATGATAATAATAATGTAAAGGCTTCGTGTAGACTGACGCTGAGCTCCCTGTTTTATTATTGTTATGATGTTATTTTAATTCCCACACACACTGATGATGGTGGAGATGCTGTGACAGAGGGTCATGGTGTGCGCTGTCTGTTGTGTTTCTGGTTGTTTTTGCTCATACTGGGCTGCTGCCATGCAATGCATAACATGTAAGTCTTATAAACACTGCATGGAGCCGCAGCGGTCTGTGAGCGCGGTGAATGCTGCTGCACTGCCCACTGTACTGTTAACATACTATATTGGGAGATGACTTGTCCGCTATATTACAGGCGAAAAGCCTGTTAGCTGCAATCAGAGCCTCCTGGCAGCTGCTGGGAGGAGGAGCACGCTGCTGGTTTCCTGTTCATGTCCCAGTGTACAGCATGCTAGACACCCCACTTACCCTCACTGAAGTATTTCATACAGTGCACATAAGAGTGACTTCCTGCTGCTGTTTCCACACTGGCTATCCAGGTTTTAGGCAGATAAGATAAGCTGCTTTAAATAGCCCACCAAGGAGCTAATACAGACCAACTTTTACAGTGTGCGCCACAGTTAGTTTCATCAAACTCTGCTCTGCAGTGTGTTTATATTACCCAACTGAAAAAGCTAAAAATAAATGCAGATGAGTTGGTGGGCCATTTATTTGTGGACCTGATGAACCTGACATATATTATAGTCTACTAGCAGTCAGGGAATATGAGAGAGAGAGGGAGCTATTTAATTAGAAAACCTCCATCTCACCATATTTAGGTCAGAGGACCTGTTACTCCATCACCAAGACCGACTCTAAAAGCTTAATATAATGAGTGCATCAGATAGCCCATAAGGAACATAAACAGATGAACAGATAGGCCTACTAACCTGAAAATGTACAGTGACTTACAACTATATTATCCACACCTGCACAGTGTAATTCAATCCAACACTTCTGCAAAAGTCCTCTCTTTATGAGGCTTATAATGTTTCATTTTTATTGACTCTATGTTAGTGTGGTGTGGAGTTACTTCTGTGGTAATCTCTTAGGCCATTGTGATGGTGAACTGCATTCAGTTTGCCTGAGATAGACACAATATTAGAAACATCTTTATACGAGTCATCTCACCCCTTTACATTATAGGCATTATGTCTGTAGAAAATATAGAATTTGTTGCAGGGCTGTTGAGTTGGATTGCATTACAGGTGTTTCTTATACACAAGCCTGGGTCAACACACAGGCAGATAGAGAGGGAGAGTAAGGCTGCCATCTTATGGACATTGTCAGCTCATGCATTAAACGTTAGCTTCTGTAAGAAAATGTTCACAACACTCAATTAGTGTGATGTTAATTAAATAAAAGTACACTAAAATGTAAATGCCTGTTGTTGGGATTGCCTTTACAGAGTTATACTGACTTGTTATAGTAGGAAAAGCACAGGTGGTACTAATAGTATTAAAAGTAGCTCCTTTCTAATCAAGCCTCCCAGTAAACTATGACAGTGAGCCAG